TTAGGTGATGGGTTAGGGCCGGGGTGGGCTGAGGCAGAGGTTTTGGATGTTGAACGAGGGGGAAGTGGGGGTGGAATGGTCATGAGGTTAGGGGAGGGACTGGCTGAGGTGGTTTTTGTAGGTGAATTGGAAACCCTAGGTGGTTTTGGAGGTACATATGGGGAGTGGTTTAGAATGTTGGACAGGACTCTAGATCGAGCTAATATGGGTGTGAGAGGAATAGTCTTCATCGCCGATTTTATTAGCCCTGCAGAGTGTTCAGGTAGGTCTAACAGTGAAGGCGGGGATGAAAAACAAAGGGAGGTGTCCCCATTCTCTCTTGATGGAGTGGACGTGGCAGGGGGGACCCAAGACAGGTCCTTGGGAGGTGGCGAGGGAGTCTTTAATGGAGGGGCAGGTGGTTGAGGAAACCCCAGCACAGGCCTGTCTGCTGTAGGCTGGGGTGAGGATTGGGGCTTCAGAGGCGCTGTAGATGAAGAAGGCGTGGCTGCTTTGGAGCAGGCTGGGGATGAGGATGGTGGTCGTGCTGCTACTGGTGATGATGCAGCTGCTGCTGGTGATGATGCAGCTGCTGCTGGTAATGATGCAGCTGCTGCTGGTGATGATGCAGCTGCTGCTGGTGATGATGCAGCTGCTGCTGGTGATGATGCAGCTGCTTCTGATGACAGTGGAGGTGTTGAGATCCTTCGAGGTGGTTGTGGTGTTGAGATCCTTTGAGGTGGTGGTGGTGTTGAGATCCTTCGAGGTGGTGGTGGTGTTGAGATCCTTCGAGGTGGTGGAGGTGCAGAGACTTTTGGAGTCGGCTTCCTCCCTTTCGATGGCTGCACGCGCTGCGCAGGCTGAGATCTCAGGGCAAAAGAAAGGTTATCCATCAGCACTTTTACTCCGTAAGTGTTCAGATGTGGCCCTTTCCCTTCAAAAAGCTCATGCCTATTCCAGAACAGATTAAAATTCTCAATGAAGGCAAGTCCTCTGCGTGAACATTCGTTGAGTAGGAAAGTATTTAGCTGATACAGACGACTGAATTTCATTTGCTTCCCGTCCACATTTGGTAGTGGGCCACTGATAACGATTTTTGTGTCCATTTTAGCAAGGTCGTCCAATAATAGAGAGTAATCCCGTTTCAACTTTTCACTTGTGTTGTCATAGACGTCTACTGCCCCCACGTGGATCAACAATCTTTTTACCCCGCCGGTCTCAGACAGAAGCCTCGGAGCCAACCGCCTTATCTCATCCACTTTGGCAGAGTGTACTGAGTGAACCTTGAGATTACGCATATTTACATTTCTTATCGCCGAATCCCCGATAAAGAGCGACTCAGCTGCATTTGACCTTGACTGAGACTGAGACTGGGACTGAGAGACTACTGCTGATTCATCTTCCAAAAGTGGGGAAAAGCGGTTTCTTGTAATTAAAGATTTTTGCTGTGGCATTATGACACTCTTGTTATCATTAGCTTTGCCTTGTTTGGGCTTGGCACCATATGTGTTCCAACAATTGTCTCTGTTGATTTTGGGAAATGAAATAGCGTCATCATAACTTACGTTTTGTCCATGTGGTCCATTTCCTTTCACTGGTATTGTTGTGTTCAGCCCCAATTCTGATTCAAGCACAAACATTCGGTCTTGAAGAAGTTTTAGCTCCTGTTTGAGTGAAAAACAGCCGTCGCAAAGTTTTGTTCTATTCTCCCGTCCTCCCGACATGCTGTAAGTTAGGTAAATTCCACCAGTCTTGTGTTGAAGTTTGTAAAAAGGAGTAATCCGTGTTTTGTGGAATAAAAATGTAAGCAAAAATGATTAAAGGAGATAAAAAAGCAGCAAGCGAGGAGCAGCAAGAGAATGCGACTGCTCTGTCCAGAGCAGGAAGATCTGGACATTTACATTGGGCTCGCTTTGAAAATCATAATTTCCAAGTAAAATTGTGGCTACACAAACCTGCAACTGGGCATCTAACGGTTGTACTATGTAAATCAAAGTGTTTTGAATGCATTTTATATTCTATATCTGTAACAAAATGAGCTCTGGTTTTCCCAAGTATGTTGTTAACTTGGAGTTGTCAGAATCCATACATGTTTGGAAGTAATTAGCTGTTGACAGGTTTGTGCTGTCCATGATGGGGTGTGTGTGTGTGTGTGTGTGTGTGTCAGCGCCAGCTTATTCTCTCTCATTTGCATATTGCCCTTGTAATATTTGCATATTTTTCCGCTGCTTTTTGGCTTTGTGTGCTGGTTGTAGTAATGCAGTCTCGAGCCTAGTCAAAGTATCAGTGATATTGAAGGCTATGACCACACAGCCTAAACATCATACACCAGCATCCATGCTGTGCTCTATGGCTGAAACAATTCATTGAATGTTTTTGATTCAGTTCATTTCAACAATGACTGAAACCCATGTGAAACTTGAGCTCAGTCTCAATTTCTGCGCTTCTTTTCCGGGTGTAATGTTTCTGAACTCTCATGATTCATTGGTATGTATTACCACATAGAATTGAAATAATGGATATATTTTTTCAATTTGGTAAATATTAAATATTATATTGTCGTTTGCAGTTACACAAATTGCATTACAATTACTATTTAAGGCATTAAGGCAACTATTATCAATATTATAAAATGTATTATACTAGCAAATCATTCAATATATCCTCTTCAATTATTTTGGATTCTGGATGTACTCTTAGCATGTGCATTCTTTGCATACATGTGCTAGCTTAGCATTTGCAGAAATCTGATAATTAAGTGTATCCAATCTTTATTATCACTAGTGAAATCTGGTGACTAGTCACTTTCTAGGCTATTTTTTTATTTTTTATTGTGAAAAAATAGACAATGCAATACAAGTGCAGACGTACGGACAATTATAACAAGACAGACAACAATGTGGATATTTACAAGTGTGTGTGTGCGTGTCCGTGTGTGTGCATGTATGGGTGCAAGCTCCTATTTTTCCAAATTGCATCCACCCATCACCCTCATTGCCCCTATTTTCCCTTCTTATTTGTGTCTCAGTTTGCGATGTGTCTAAAGTGGTGCATTAAAAAGGAAACTGGGAGGTTGTCAGCTTGGTGCAGGGGTGCTGTCCAAGGGCATCTCCCACGTCTCCTGTATCCCTAACCTTATTTCTTTGTTTTTGTTTTGTGTTTTAGTGTATTATCGTTTCTGGGCTAATTTAAATGGAAAAGTTGCCAACGCTGGCACAAGTTAATGGGCTTAAATCTGACAAAACATTTCACCAAATGACTGAAGTGGGCACATGGCCATGTGCAGTTCATATTTACAAAAATAAACCTGAGTCTTATAGATCTACAATGTCACACTTACATGTATCTAAATGAACATTTGCTTTGAGATCGATGAAAAGCATTGTGAATCGCTTAAATCATAAGATTTCTGCTCGTTACAGCCCTACTTAAAACAGGCAGATAATGTTTGGGCCCCCCTGCTCTTCTGGTAGTAATAGAACAGGGGGCCCAAAGTAGCTCATAATGGCCAAGAAATACGTCATGTCCAAGAAATGTAGTGTTTCGTACTGAGAGCATCCTGGAGGCCAATAGTGCTGCTGTTCTTCTCAATAAATTGAGTTTGGCTGCAAAGAATTCATCACACGTAGAATGCCTGACACGTAAACAGGCATTGTGTTTTAAGCATATTCGTCCTATTGCCGTGGCTCGTTTCTTATTGTTAAAAGGGGCATAATTCACATCTTAATGTTACAAAATGCATTATTATAATTGGAAGTATTATCGTAATAACAAAGCATTACTTATGATCTTGTGATCCCTCCCTAAAGTCTCTGATCCTGTACTTTGATATTTAACATAAATTATCATAGATTGTACATCAACTTCCTTCGTTTTCGTGCCACCCTGCCAGTTTAGACTTCCTGTGCGTTTTGGAAATTACAAGCTTATTAAGGCGCTCATATTGATCGATCAGCATTGTTTTTTTTGGAAAAGTCTCATCATAAAAGCTCCAATATTACATCAAGATTTGGTTAAATCTGCTTTTGTTCCATCTGCTGCTACTTAGGGGTTTCCCGGTATGAAAATGTAACCTCACGGTTATTGAGGTTACCACTGTTTTCAGTATCATTGCGGTATTTTTTTTTTAAGTTCAGTGTGAAGGTAAGTATATTAGTTGCAAACAGGCAGCTAGGTGCATTTTTAATTTGCTGGCGCTGCGGCTGCACTATTACGTTAACATTATTTACAGATAATCAGACAAATCTCCCTCAACCCAAAATTCCCCCACATCTTCGAGTTCAGCTAAAACGTTCATATTATCTTACCTAGCATTGGCTATAGATTTGTGGCAGGGGCAACTTCAGCAGACTCAGAGACAACCAACCTGCTACTACCACATGGTATCTTTTGTGCATTTGTTTCAGGTGTTTAACAATCAGTATTAGGAGTGTGACAATATATCGATATGGTGATGTATCGTGATACTTTCTCACGCAATCAAATATTGATATGCTTTTGCTAAGTATCGATTTATTTAAACAAAATAAAAAGTATTGATACTTAATATATGGCTACATTACGCATTCTACAATTTCTGTAAAATGTTCATATTGATTTTATTAGATGTCAGACAGAAGTAAGGTTTTTAATAAAATGTGCAGGTTAAAAGGCATTTTTGCTTGTTCACTTTAATGTTACACACCACACTTTTATCCATTTATCTTGAAATAAAGTGTGTTTTTTCACTTAATTTATAATTTGATAAATATAAGAAAAATATTATCGTAGGTATATTTTTGACCAATATATCTATAATCGCTGCATCGTCATATCGTGAGATAATCGTTATCGTGAGCTTTGTATCGCACATTGTATCGTATCGTGAGGTACCCTGAGGTTCCCACCCTTAATCAGTATGCTTTATTAACAGTACATTTACTGACCATATCCCTGTGCTTTCCTATGTTTCAGCTCTGATGGTTCTGGCTGAACAGTGACCGCTGCCTACCTGAGGACACTTGCTGTCATTTTCTTTCATCATGTCTGGCATCCATGTAAGTTAAACCTGTAACCAGCTCAATCAGATGTGTTGCTCTTCCTCACTGTAATGGGAAAAGTGATAATATGGACACAACAGAAACTAGATTACGATTGCAACAACACCTTTGTGGGTGAACTCTCTCACCTTTTCTCACTATCATTAACACTCCACATAATTTGCCTTCTCACGCATATCAAAGTAAATGCAAATGTTCAAATGGCAAATGATTAACTGGGTAACTAAGTTGGGCCTTTTACTAAAACATTGGATCCCCGGCTACATCCTCGAAAAGTCCACTTGCCACTAATGAGACAGGCACCACAGTTTGAGTAACACAACTTTTAGTTTTAGGGAACATGCACCCACACAAGCGTATACACACATAAATCCTTTGCCCCGCCTTAAAAGGGACAGTGGTAGTATGCGTTTATCCTCTAAAGCAGCCTGGCTTAGCTTCAGTTGATTCATGTTACCAGACTGCTTGTGTGTGTGGTGTACTTTTGTTTCAAACCTGTGCATATATACAAAATAGAATAAAGATAAATAAACGGTACACAATTTAAACAGTAATATACAGTAGTTTTAGGACTTTTTTGGCTCCAACCCCTTTATCATGGAGCACAACACACATTAGACTTTTGAAAACACTTTTTTTTAAGTTGAATCAGGTTTGAAGGTGCTTTTAGTTCTTCCGGTGAGTTGTTCCAAAGAGTAACTCCTCGCACAGAGATACACATGGATTTTAACTGTTCTAAATTTAGGCACAATTTGAAAAATGAGACTGAGGCAGCAGTGATCTCTTGCCACATTTTTTTGGTTTACTCTTTGTCTGTAATTATGGAGAGCATCTCTATCATGAAATATGTTTTATACATTAGGTGGCAGCAAGTTTTCAGATGGGACGACCCTGGACATGATATGAGCATTTTAAAGTTGATCAAGTCATGCCGTTTAAGTTCTTTTTGATTTATATGATGGATTTGAATTCTCTTTAAAAGGGTGTTTATAGTGGACATTAGAGACAATCATAATGGCCTTTTTGGTGATTTGATTAAAGGCTGTAAGCGAGATGTATAACAATATTTTAAGTATGAGACTAAATATGTTTATCTGGGTAGAAATACTTTTCTCTTTACCATCTACAGGTATCAAATAAGGTTTTTTCAGAGGTGGTGGTAGTAGTAGTACTTAACTGTTTAGTGTGTTTCTTTTATAAGATCACGTGTTGAAATTACTAGTGCTATTGAGCGGTTCCATAGTATTGAAAACTAGTGAAATTATAGTGTTGTGTCAGCCATGTTTAACTTGTATTTGATTTAACCGTAATGAATAGATCTGGGTCAGCACTCCTCCCTCTTTCCCACAAGAATAAAAGATGAATCCTATTTGGCTTCCTAATAATTTGCTTCCAACTTTCCAGAATCAGTCTGTTACTACATCACTGTATGTATATTAAAATGTATATAATCTCTTATGTTTTTCTTTTTACCTAGGCCCCATGGTCGTCTGGAACAGAGTGTGTAGCCAAATATAACTTTCAGACTGCTAATGAACAGGACCTTCCCTTTTGTAAAGGAGATGTATTGACCATAATTGGAGTCACCAGGGTACGTGACTTTCTGTTGTCTGCAAATGTCCAAATGTGAAGTAGGAATATGAACTCATTGAATGTTTTTTTTTTTTTTCTCTCAGGATCCAAACTGGTATAAAGCAAGAAATACTGGAGGAAGAGAGGGCACCATTCCGGCAAACTATGTCCAGAAAAGGGAAGGAGTCAAGTCGGGGGGCAAACTCAGTCTTATGCCGTGAGTACAAAAAGACCCGTGTCTATTAAACTACACTGGTGATTATTTATTTGAATGCTTTGTGTGGTTGTTTGTGTCTTGTTTTGTTCAGCACTTTGAGCTGCCTTGGGTATGAATTGTGCTAAACAAATAAACCTTGCCTTGCCACTGAACACGTTGAAAGAAAATTATAGAGATTGTGCTGTGTCTCTTTTGTTGATCAACACTTGGATACTACAAATTAATTATTCATTCATTCAGGCATATATGACTGTTTCATCAATATATTGCTAGGAATTATATATATTTTTAAAGACTCACATACTGTAGCTATTTTATGGTCTTAAAAATAAATATCCTATTTTTCTTGTTATTAAACATTTTGTATTTAAAAATGTTTCACTTTATAAAACTAGGTCCAGTAGTGATCTATACTCTATTATTCTTGAGATTGCCAATTGAGGCCATGGGTTTATTTGATGACATGACACGACAAGTGTGACTTGTAGAATAATGTCCCTTTGGGGTCTAATGACTTTATAAGGAACAGCAAACAGATGTCTTGAGGAAGGCCGCTCCCTTTTGGGTGACATAAGTCTTCAGCTGTGGTCTTCTCTTTGCATTTGAGTGATGTTCAGTGGAACATATTGCTTCTCTGCTGACCCCTGGTGGCAGACATTCACTCCGCATACATATCAGGAGCACCACCCTAGAGTGGTATGGGCTTCGACCAACTGTCCCACCTCACCCTCTTCTTGTGTGTCGTACCCACAGTTGTTTACGGCATCTGTAATGTGACGTATGACCCGCCAGCCGGCCATCATTGTATGTGGCCAGTTGTTGGATTAGTGGGAGTTGGTGAAGGAGCCTCTGTCCATTGGATAGCTCGCCTTTACTGATCTAATCAACTCAACCTTGCATTAAGCTGCTTTGCTACAAGGGACTCCGCTGTCTGGGGATAAGGAGGAAGCAGGAATCCGCTTGGAGAAAAACAAGCTAAATCAATTATTGATTTGTCGCCATCAACAGCTTAACTGTTACTAAAACCAAGGCTGGCAGTTTAATCCTCATCATTTCATACAACAATTCAGACTAATCCGTATGGCATTAGCTACTTTAATTATCACCTTTTGTTTTATTTACTAATAATAATTCTTGTGATGTCAAAGATAATAGAATATAAATCTTTATTCGTCCCTCAGTGGTGAAAGTTCAATGTCATCTTGCGCGAATTACATCAGAATATAAGAAGAAACTAGACTTAAGTTATGAATACATCAAACAATGTATTATTTAAGATAATAGATAATTAAATAATAAAAATAGATCGAAACTCCATTCTTTATGCAGGTTAAAAATGAATGTTGGAACTACTGTACATACGAAAAGGTCACATCGATGATGGATGTAACTTTCTCATGAGCAGCCTTGATGTATTTGACTAAGTTGGGTCGTTGTTGAAGAATAAAAATCAGATATCGCTCCCACCACATCCAGTTTAAGGATTCTTGCATTTTCCTGTTATTGCCTTGCCAGGCAGTTGGTTTCCGACCCTGCCCCAGGCGTGTGTTTCTTTTAGACTGTGCGAGCGCCACTCTTCCTGTTGTTTGGGTTCAGGTACTTTCTCAGCAGCTTCTTAAGGTCTTGAAATGGTTTTGTCAGTGCCGACCTGTGATTTACTTTTAAATCAAACATGATCCTTTATTTAATTTGGTTGTATTTGTTTTTGTTCACAATGTGTCAAAGCTCTTGTCATTCTAAACTTCCCTCTTGGTTTCCCTCTAGCTGGTTCCATGGGAAGATAACCCGGGAGCAGGCCGAGCGGCTCTTGTATCCCCCTGAAACGGGTTTGTTCCTGGTGAGGGAGAGCACGAACTATCCGGGCGATTATACCCTGTGTGTCAGCTGTGATGGCAAAGTGGAGCACTACCGCATCATCTACCACAATGGAAAGCTCACCATCGATGAAGAGGAGTACTTTGAGAACCTCATGCAGCTGGTGGAAGTAAGCATCTTTTAGCTCTATTTCTGATCCGCCAAGCTTACTGTGTGTAGTGTGTGTATAGTGAATACAGTTTAGAGTAGTAGTAGTAGCATCAGCAGCATAATCAGCAGCATCATCAGCAGCAGCAGCAGCAACAGCAGCAGCAGTAGTAGTAGTAACAGCGTTGGAAGAGCCAGGGTCGATCACACTTACAATTGGCCTCTTGTCTTTGTGCCCTGTGCTGCTCTTGCTTCATCATCTGATCTCGGAAACTCTGAGATAACTTGCGTAATCCTCAGACTTCCCAAAAATCGGAGCGTTCACGAGGAGCTGGCAACACGTGTGCAGCAGCGAACAACAGAAAGGCACGGTGCCCTTCACTGTTGTGTTGAGAAATGAAAGCTTTTGTCCTGATGAATCAATGATTATGCTCAAAGGGCAGCATGTAATATTTTAATGTCAAATTACATCAACATCTTTAATATTTGCCCAGTTAATAGGTCAACATGTAAAAATCATATTTTCTGACCTTTTCTTTTGTTATTAATTAAAAATAGAAAGGATATGATGTCCAGAATATTTACGATTATGACTTTCAAGCAAATTATCAAACAAAATGATCGTACTACAAACAGATGCAGATTGTGTACCTTTTCTAGCTAAACTCCGGAAGGTGGTTTGCATCTGTAATCAGTGCTTGACTGATTGAAATTGACTGTATTTGTAATGGCTGAATCAACCACTTATAATGCATTTATGTCACTTAAAGTTGATTACTTACAAAGTAAAATTATCATTGGGATAAAAAACAAATCCCTTTTAATTTTGTCTCCACTATTCAATCCAATTACAATCTGACACATGTCACAGTGACGCAATTCGGAGGTCATTACTCCAGCACGAGTTTCAAGTTGTTTAAAAATAAGCTCTCTGATTAGATAATTTGCTTGTAAATCACACACATAATCTGGAGGACTCACAAGCTTCTACATTGGAAATACACATACTTTCCGACCGAAGGACTGTTTTCAGAGTTTGAGTTTCTGAGATGAACAGTATGATTGTGCCAGCTGGTAGAAACGGATCTATTGTAATAACGTAATAATTGCAAGTCATTTAAAGTCCAAAACCATCTCTTTAAAGACGCTTGTGCCTCTTCCTAACCTGCGTGATGATTCCTTCATTGCTGATTTGTCCCAACCATGCCAATCTGCGCCATCACCAGTGCCTCCGTTACCTACATTAATCATGGAGTAATTGCTCATATGAGGCTTTTTTATACATTCTGCTGCCCCCTGGTGGGTGTTCAATAGACCTGCAAATGGGGTTATATTTGTGTTGTGGTTAAATGGCTTAAAAATATATTTAAATTAAATTAAAGTAGAGCAACCACAAATAAAATGGAACCGTCAGCTCACTGTGACTGTAGCCGGATTCGCACTACACTGCATGTGGCTCATCTTGTTCATAAATATCCCCAGCATTACACCAAAGACGCGGATGGCCTTTGCACCAGGCTGATTAAACCCAAGTTGATGGAGGGGACAGTCGCGGCGCAGGATGAGTTCTCCAGAAGTAAGAACACACACTGAGCTCATTACACTACTCTATGGGGACACTGGCACACAATAACATATTAACACACACTGGTTTAAAGTGTGCATCCTCTTCCGTCTTCTAATGGCTTTAATCCCCAAAGGGAAGCTAATCTTTCTGTGTCTAGGGACTCTCAAGGTTCGACTGGGTCACCCTTCATGGGAGCGTTCTTTTATATCGCTCCGTAAACTCAAACGACCTTTTACTGTGAGAATTCAATTACTTTGTTTTTATTTTTATTGAAGCCAAGGACGGTCAAGGCGGACTCAAATATACAAAACAACAACAAAACAAAACACTACAAGACTTTACATGACATCATACACAGCGAATAAAACCCAAAAGAGGGTCTCCAACCTTTTTCAATTGGAGAGCTACTTTTATAAAACAGAAATGGCAGAGAACAACTCCTTTTTTAGCAGTCGTAATAAATTGTAGTCTATACTTCTGACAATCATGGCAAATACATAAATGCACTATATATCATTATACTTGCTCAAAAGTTAATCATTCAGGATCATGTGGAAAATTCCTAAATACTTTGGGGAGCTAGCTGAAAGCGAGTGGTGAGCTACTTGTCGCTCCCAGGTCACAGTTGGAGACCCCTGCTGTAAACCGTCGGCCTCCAGCAGTCTCGCATTAGTCCTCTAGGGTGGAGAATTTTTCCAGTTTTTTTTTGTCTAGATTGTGAGAGTGCTTTCATAATTCATAAAAATCACTATATTTCAGGATCAATTTCTGCCTTATCAGACATTTTAACTTATTATATTCATGTACAGTAGAAAAATGCATTTTATTGAGGCCTTTTAATATACAACACAATCTTCTGTACAATATGTCAATCGCCAACTCGTTCACCACAGTCCGTACATTTCTTTTGCAGGTGGTTGGGCTTTGAACAGGAAAGACCTTAAGCTTATTCAAACAATTGGCAAGGGAGAGTTTGGTGGTAAGGAGAACTACTCTACTAACCCCCTGCTCAATACATTTGATCTAATGCTGTGTCCACCTGTCCCTGTGTGCAGATGTAATGGTTGGAGACTACAGGGGGACCAAAGTGGCCGTCAAGTGTATCAAAAACGATGCCACAGCGCAGGCTTTTATTGCGGAGGCCTCTGTCATGACGTAAGATGCTGCGTTCCTTCTTGGTTGGATGCCGTCTCAATAAGTTAAAGAAAAATGAATGTAAGTGACACATGTGTTTGATGTTCGGCTTCACAGGCAGCTGAGACACAACAACCTGGTCCAGTTGCTCGGGGTAATCGTGGAGGAGAGAGGGAGTCTTTATATTGTCACAGAATACATGGCCAAGGTCAGTGGGTTTTTTTCTGGTTTGATAAAGCATGTATTTGATATTGTCTTTCGTAATGCGATCTCTTGTGACCCCACAGGGCAGTCTGGTGGACTATCTGCGATCTCGAGGGCGGACTGTATTGGGAGGCGACTGCTTATTAAAGTTTTCACTGTAAGAACATTGTTTATGAATGAAAAATGACACATAATGGGATACATAACTTTTAGTCCAGCTAGTTCCTTGCTCTTAAAACAGTTTTCCATACATTGCATGTGCGTACATTCAGGTTCGGATACAACTTTTTTAGACAGAACAGCGAAAAAGGCCACCCTCACTACAACATTTTACTTTTACTTCATATTCTGTCTGGCCAAACGTGTTTTATTTATGAAACAGTTTAGAAACAAAGACTTTAATTAGATGATGTTTTCATGAATGTATTCAAAATTTATTCAACTAAAAGTACGTACACCCATAACTTAATGACTTAGAAAGCCATAACTGGATGTTGTTGTGGTCTTCATTTCCGTTTCTGCAGAGATGTCTGTGAGGCAATGGAGTACTTGGAGGCCAACAACTTTGTCCACAGAGACTTGGCAGCTCGTAATGTTCTTGTGTCAGACGACAACATTGCCAAAGTCAGCGATTTTGGCCTCACCAAAGAGGCCTCCTCCATACAGGACACTGCCAAACTGCCTGTCAAATGGACATCCCCTGAGGCTTTGAGAGAGAAGGTAAGGGCTCTGTCGGTACTGTACTCAGACTGATATATTGTGTTGAATATTTCATTTCATTTCTACAGAGGTTTTCCACAAAGTCAGATGTTTGGAGCTATGGAATCCTACTGTGGGAGATTTACTCCTTCGGGCGTGTGCCTTACCCTAGAATTGTGAGTATTGTGGATGTGCCTCATATATGGCAGATCATTAGCATATTCTGACCTTCTGTTCAAACAGCATGCATCAAACGATTACATGCACGTCATGGAAGTGCAGCACAAAAACTAAATTAAAATTCCAATTATTTTCCTTCGATTGGGTTTTTTATGCATTCATGTAGTCATTACTTCCTGACCTTTCTACTGTAGTATAGCATAATGAATGTGCATGCATGACCTGTTTATTATTATTATCATTTGTTTATTGTTGTGCAGCCGCTGAAGGAGGTGGTGCCGCGAGTGGAGAAGGGATACAAGATGGACGCTCCGGACGGGTGCCCCCCTGTGGTGTACGACCTCATGAAGCAGTGCTGGACTCTGGACTCTGTCATTCGGCCCTCCTTCCGCATGTTGAGGGAGAAACTGCAGCACATCAGAGCCAAGGAGCTGTACCTGTGAAGAAGCTGTCCGCAGGGAGGGGGGGGGCGTGTGTCGGGTGGGGCCAGACCAGGACTGTCCACCCCTCACCCTCCCCTCTATCCCCCCAGCAACCTTCCTCCACACTAAGACTGTTGTTCTGTTCGTGATGTAAAGCTTTTGCCGGGCGGTTTCCTAGACTCTGGACGGGACGGTTGCCTCTTCCTCGCCGCTGCTCACTTATAAGTCGTCTCTCTTTATTACCTCCCCTCCTGAATCTGAGCGTTAACTGGTGGGGAGGCTGGCCTTTTCCTCCATGTTTGTCAGCTCGTCTTGTTTTACTTTCTCTTTCGCTGCATCATTCCTGAGTTGAGATTCAGTTCAGCCGCGTACCATTCCAATCCAATGCTCTCTTCCTCTGCTACAGGTGTGGGGCCTTCGCTCTGTGCCAAAGTGCCTCCAGTCTAGAGCTCACAACACAAAAACTCAAGCGCTTCAGTTGGACTGCAATTTCATCTTTTATTTTTTTAAGAATAACTTTTTTTATTAGTCCATTTGGTTTTCAGGGAGGTTTTCAAGACTGTTTTTGTGCTAATTTGCCCCCTATCTCCCATCAAACACCCACCACACCACACCACACAATATTTTATTGGAGTTGGCATGGACCGCAAGAGAAAAGTTCCTCCAACAAGAGACTTGACAGCGTCATCAGGGGCAGTATAATAATAACAGTGACCACCGATGAGAGGGAGTTGGCTGACACGGGCGATTCATCATATGTGAGCTTGTTTTTTTATATCAAAATTTATTTAAAGGAATAAAAAAGAACAAGGAAAAAAACTCTGAATTTTCAACAAAGAAAAAGGACTTGGCCACGATCTGTTTGTGTTAGAACGGTCAGTGTCTTTCTTGAACGCTGAGGTCGGGGTGGTGCATGCTGTGTGTGAGAGGCCTTGGGTTCAACTGTCAGTGCTTTCAATGTTTATTGTTTTAATATGCTATCATAAATATAAATAAATCATTCCATCTAAAAAGTGTCCTGGTTTCTGTGTGGCTATTTTGTGTTTGTGTTTTACTGCATGGTCTGTTGTATTTTATTACTTCTATTTGGGCATTTATTAAGTTCATATTTTCAGTTAAACTACACATTTCTATCATCTCTAAGTTTATGCTAACAATACTTACTGACTTAAACCTCACCACTTCTTTGGCATACTTGTGTGAGTTTATTTTTCATCGCACATTTCCTATAGTTTTGTAAAGTGCTGGACGACAAATCAAAAAGATAGCTAGTAAAATAATTCTGCACAATGAACAACAATATCAACACAAAAATACAAGTCATTAACAATTGAAATTATAAAAAACATACAATGCGTGTGCAGGTGGCAGGGCGTTCATACGAAAATGTTTGATTGATTTGGTTACTATAACGAGATGACATTCAACTCTTTGGTGTGATGCATTACTTTGAGAATTTAGATATTAGTTTCTACAACAATACTGGTAGAAACAAAATACTTTCAACGCAATAATTGATTTTATATATTGCTGGCTTTAAGCGACAAACTCTGACAAGATTCCCATAAAACCAAAACTATTAACTCCAATGTCTTTCAGACTGTAAACATTCATTCAATTATGTTTATTTTTGTATAGCCCTGAATCACTCAGGAAGTTGTCAGTAAGTAATCTGTATTTCAAAATGTGAATGGTGCCGTTCACAAACCGGTGTCACAAAGCGTATTTGTTCACTTAACCACGCACAGAGGAGGCGCAGGCACAAAATACAATCACAACAAACATGCATTATTCATTTATCATTATATTGGTAGAAAGTAACTGCTTTCTTGAAGTAGTTTAAATATGTAGAAAATTATAATACATTTGTTCAGTCATTTTTCAAAGTGCCTAATCCTCCTGACAGTATAGTCTTCCTGAAAATGTGAGACACTCATTTTCTGACAATGTTAAAATCCAGGTTGAAACAGTTCTATTTATCTCTGCATACACCTGAGGGATTTTATCTTCACTCTTTTTAATTTACTGCGATTATTAATTATTTATTCATGCCTTGTGCACTTTGTTGCCTAGTGTATTATACAAAAAGTGCCATAAAAATAATCGTTCCTTCCTTTTCCTTCCTTTCTTACCCAACATGGATTATAACACGTGAGTGACACATTTTCTGTGCCCACTGTCAATCTCACTGTATAATATTAAGTGAGCACATGCCAAAAGCCACCACAGGGGGGCGGTAAACAATACAGTGATCCTAAGGGACTGAGGCTGAAAAAACCAACACCGGGGTTGAGTTCAGAAGATTGTTTTACATTTGGGAAAAGTGAAAGTGGAGAAAGCGCACATTCATATAGGTAGGTCTATAATAAGAATGACCAGTCAGATTTTACAGCAGATTTCTCAAGCTGAGGAATCTGATTTTCAGCCACAGAAGGAGGCTATGCTTCATGCTGTATCTCTATTATGCAGTCTGTTATTTCAATGATTTTACGTGTTCCTGTCATAAATCTGTTTGTCAGAATTATTTATTATTATTAAACTGTATTACAGGCTGTAATGGACCCAATACATTGTTGGTCAACAGACATGCCCAGTTGACTTGGACAGCCAAAATAATAAAGTCATAATAAACACTCTTACTACTACTACTTTTACAATTATGTATTAATTTGTTTTCTTTGAATGATTGAATGAAAGGTTGTGTTTTTCCTGCTTCTGGACACCTGAATTTCTCCTACGGGATCAATAAAGTATCTATCTATTAATTAATTAAGAACATTTAACCATGTGAACTGAAATTTCCCATAAATGGCCTACATTTCAGTTAAGAATGATTACCTACTCAGGATGTCAGAAGATGATAAAAAATAAAGATGGACAGCTTGAATTATTTGTACTCACATGCGTCAATAGTTGGCCACCAGAACAACTATAGAACTATATGTACGTTTGTGTACTATACGTTCTGTAATACACTCTGTAATACATATTATATAAATAGTTACTATTTATTTAGTCTTAAATATAACACAGATTGATAGCAATTTTACATGCATTGACTATATCCAACAACATTGATGTCAATAACGCAACAAAAGGATCTTGCTCTCTGACTTCAGAAAAACGGTCAAACCAAAAACGCAAGACAATTTAGGATTTATGAAGCATACATTAACAAATAGAAATGATACTGAAATAAAAAGGTAATATTTTATGCAGTACACATGATGTCCCCCTTAAGACTCTCTGTTAATCACCTATGCAGCCGCATGCTCTGGGGGAATTAACTTGAAGTTGTAAATCCAACTTCACGGGAGATAGTGTTGACAGTAGGTATCCTAGTGCTAATGCCCAGCACAGCTCCTATTTCTGGATGACTCACGCTTTGGTTCATGCTTAAATAATCCTGACAACCGCTCAGCCAGGCGTTCTTAGCCGCCACAAGAAGGAGGGTTGATGTCTTAATCAGCTTTTGATAAGTTATGGATACTGACTGCGGCAGTCCGCCTTACCACAACCACATATTGGCGACTCCATGGCAACAAATATGCTCTAGCATTAATCTGATTACACCAACACACATTTTAGCATTGTAAGGATGCTGCTGAGGCTCGCATGTTGCAGTGCATGTGTCTTTTTGTGGAGTTAGCATGTGACGTCCATGCAGATGTGAGCGAACAGATGCACGTATGTGACGGAATGAGGTTAAGGTGCAGGTGACAAATAGTGCTGCTGCAGGCATATATACCATTATCTACAACGTACCTGCCTGTACCTCTGCAGGACTATATGTGTAAGCATGTGTTACTCGTTTATTTGCAGGATTTGTGTGACCTTCCAATAAACCCACAGCTCATGAATGTCTCAGGGTCATGGGTTCAGTGATGTTCCACAAACATAATGTTGTTAATCAGATATGCCAAGGTCTTTGCCGTTTCTTTTCAGATGTAGATCTATTTTCCAGCAGCAGCATGATCCGCTTTTGGAAGTCTTGCTGTATATTTTACATCCTAATATCTCCATGACAACACATGTAAAATGTTTTGTGCAGATCCATTGAGTGGAGTATTCACCAGGAGTACAATTGGGAGCTGCTTTTAAGATACAAGGTAAGTGCCAGATGACCAAATTGTTCCATTTACTTCACCACAATTTGAATATTTGAAATCACAGTATTCATCTAAAGTACTGCTAGCTGTTACATCCTTCTCAACTATATGCATAATCCACACCCACACATATAAGTGCACAAATGTTTACACATTTCTACATGATGAATGTCTACGAATGCTGTTGCCTGCTGACGCAATACACAGATTCTTTGGACCTGAATGACTTCAGTTGTTCTGACGGCTTGCATTATTTTTCAGATGTGCGATGTCATGAGTCCAGTGGAATGGATCTCATGATAGAAACAGAGATATTTATACAAGTGTCCTTACAAGCCATCCATTAGTCTCCAGGTCACACAAGAGACAAGTGTTTGAGAGATGAAGTGTTTTTGCATGCAAGTGTGTGAGGTTGTCATGGTATTTATTCAGAGATGTGTGCGTAAAAAAACCTTGATAAGATCTATTGTGGGTATAGCAGTCTCCAGGCAAGTAAAGCAAGATTAGGTGCAGCCGCTCGATATACTGACGATCTCCTTTCATAAAGAATTGTGTTAAAATGATGTGTGGATTAATGAGTTCCAAATCTGAATGTGTCTTAAGCCTTGGTGTTGTCCTGCTGCTAATCAAATCCTAGTGCCAGCGTGGGGTGCAGATGACAGAGGGAGAACATGTGGTGTGAGGGAGCAGCGTGTATGTGAAGATGCTCTAATAGGGAGCAGTGTGTGTGAGTCAGTGAGCGGCTCGTGGCTCGCAGACAGTGGTGCTGGAGTCGAAGGATAACAACCACAACAAAGGCCACAGAGCAGTGCGTAAACAGTCTCACTGCTGTGATGTAACACCAACATGTTTCTGAAGCCGTTCTTTAAATAGCCCTGTAGTTGCCCTGCAGTGTTGGATGACATGTTCATT